CGGGCCAGCCTGGCCGGGAGGAGCTGTTGAGGTTGAGGAGGGAGGGAGCAGCGTGTGGGAGGGATGTGGGAAGCCCCACAAGTTTCCCCTGGACTGGATGGGCTGCCCATGTAGCACCAGGTCGTGACTCAAATGACCACGAGCAGAGGTTCTTTGCCCTGCTCTTGTCTCTTCTGAGCCAACGTCCATCCACTGATTGTCCCACAGAAGACCCCAGCAGTGGAGCAAGCCCAGCAGGGTCTGCTGGAAGAAAGAAGCAGATGTGCATGGCCAGCACGCCACATCTCTTCTCTTCACACCCTCCGTGCCCTGGGATGCTCCCTCACTCTGCCCTGGGCTGAGCAGCTGCCCCACCACTGCTGCCACCCTGGGGCTAGTGCTGCTCTCGGGACCAAATTAACTTGTGTTCCTGTGCCGCACTTTGCAGCTCATGTGCTCACTGGAGGAAGAACACATGTTCAGGGTGTTGCCAAAATCTTGGGTGAGCTTCTGTGAAGGACCAGACCTTTCCTCACACGAACATAGTGCGCCCTTTACGTCAGCAGTCATAACTGGCTTAAAGATGGCTGCTCCCCGTGGCGCTCTGAACCCTCTCCTGCCTGCCTCCTCTGCCGCACAACAACAACTCAGAGGCCATGAGGAGGCAGCTGCTGCTAGAGAGGGGCAGTGGCGGGAAAATCGCAACATCTTGCAAAGGGCAGGTCCTCCCGGTGACAGCAGTGGTGGGAAAAAGTCCCTGCCTGATTGGCTGAGAAGCCCCAGAAACAAGAGACTGGCCAATTGGGAACAAAGGAGACCCATAAAGACACTGTGCCTGCTGCTTGGGATGCGCTGTTTGGATGGACAGTGAAGCTGCTGCTGCTGGTTGGTTTTGGGGGTGACCTGCGTCTTGGGGGTTCCTGCCTGAGGTCCCCGTTCCTGTTTACCTGCGTGCCTACAGCCCTGGCTAGTCCTGCCTCGTCCCGGCTTGTCCCGGCTCGTCCCGCTTCACCTGCAGTCCCGGCCTGTCCCTGCAGTAGCAACTCGTCCCAGCTCCCTGCAGACCCGGCTCATCCCACCTTGC